CCACAGGGGGTTTTCTTTACAAGACCTTGCCAGAGGGAAATAAATCCTGAAACCATAATCTGGCATAACTCTCCAGTGTGAGGCCACACAACAGAGCCACTTAGTCACTGAATCAAATAGAGAGGAAGGTTTTTGCTCCTAATTGGAGTTTAAACAGATGAAGTCCCGTCGTAACATTTGATTAAAGGTGATGACATCTAAACTTAATTTTGTTTTTCTGCTCCCTCACCCACTCGCTGTTTCCAACCACTGGATCGAAGTCTTCTAAATATCCAACATGTTGATATTTATGATATGTATGTTGGCAAAGTCCTCACTCTGCAGGATCAATTGGCACAAGTCTGCAGAAGTAGCAGGGTGAAACATGATGTTTGATAAGATTAATATGTTAAAGGTTATATATACACTTATCCATTCTAAATCTGTCTGTATATTTGTCCTTTAAATAACTGCCACTTTGTTCCTACTATATAAGTCAGTCCATTTATTCCAGCATGCATTAGTTTTTATTTAAAGCTTTTTTTTTGTCATCATGCTTCTAAAACACATCACAGACCACCCACACACTGCATTATTGTATGTGTAGTGATGAATGCCGTATTCTCTGTTTTTTCATGCAGACACAGTTTTCTTTTTTCTGTTGATCTCAAATGGAAACAAATGCATGACTGTGTGGGATGATGACAGAAAAACACATCAGTTTGTCTTTCTGTGTGTTGCCTGAGTTAAATAGAGGCACAGTTCAGATAAAATCTCTGGGTTATGATGAAATACATAACTATATAAACAGTTTAGCCTTAAGCTATTTAGGCCTAAATGTATGCCGTGAAAAAATGCATACAAAATAAGGAATCTCTTTGCATTTATACTAAAAAACCACATCTGTCACAGCGATGTTAAAGATGACAGACGCAGTATGAGAAAATGGAAAATCAAAAAAGTCGCTCAGCAAACAGCTCAGCATCTAAATGTAACAAGCACCGCAGCTTTTTTTTAACAACAGCTACTTCTCCAGCAGAGGTTGTTGAGATATGTGCACTGGACGGATAAAGGACCAGAGTTTTAGCAAAGGCGAAAATCATAAAGCATTAGGAGAGCGAGCAGAGATTGTGCTGACAAGCCGGAATCTCCTTCACGGACTGTAAAGGACAGCGGGCGATGCGTTTATGAAGACCCCGGGTCACAGGATTAAAAAGAAGGAGATTGCCTCACACAAACCTCCAGTGGTCCAACCGGGAGAGGAGCCACAGGAGCAATCAGCTTCCTGCAATGACATTTCCCTTGGAATTCCAATACAGGACTTCAGAGATTAGGGGTTGAGAGCTCTGTGTGTGTGTGTGTGTGTGTGTGTGTGTGTGTGTGTGTGTGTGTGTGTGTTGGATGAGGGACAAAAGACAGAAGAAGTTTCTTAAATGGCTGCTTTTAAGTTTTAAATTAAAGTATATCTCTATGTTGTTTTGCACCTAGTTTTCATTCCTGCATTGTTTCCGTTAAACGTTTTGTTAAAAATAAAACACCCAGCACAGTTTTATTCTTATTTGTGATCCATTTTTTCCACTGGAGCTGCCTCCCTCTGCTATTGATTATTGCACAGTTGCAAAGTTTAAGATTATAAATAGTTGCTTCTATGTCTGATATCCAGTGACATACCAGGATGTTAAGATACCACATTCATCTCTAGTCTACATGATTACAAAGCGTGTAAACATCTTTTCACGACAAAGCCTGACCTGCAGTGTGATTTATCGTACAGCCACACTGGCTTGGAGCAGAAAGGAGATCACCGGAGCAGTGTGCTTAGTTAAAGCAGGTGTATGACCTTCCCTGGAGAAGCTCCGAGTCAGGTGAGAGGAAAACACTGAGGTAATTAGAGCCACAGGATACAGAATGGTAATCAGGCCCTTTTCCCCACTGCAGGGTCTGACAGTCAGAAGCCCTCTGGCTCTTTTTATCCTGAGTCTCCAGAGGGCCGGCCATTGATTTCCCCTCTGCGATTGAACCAGTTTTGAAGATCAATGCAACACGAAAGTATTTGTGTCCTCATTAATGCTATTTGCTCAGCTGATCAATGCAGACTGAACGTCCCCGCCCAAGCTCAAAATACGAGAGCCTGGAGATGCATCACTCCCGTTATGGCCAACTCTGAAGTACCTAAATTCTTGACCTGGCCAGTCACACAGTAAAATAGACTCCATTAGAAATAAATGTCCTCCATTCAGAGCTACAAAACGAAGAGTACGTCTCCTCCTGAAGTTTGTGTCCTGTTCCTTAAACAACATGTTTGGTTAATTAGCTCCACAAACATCCCCACAAGGTTTGTACACAACGTTATGTTGTTGTTCACTAATGGTCCCTGCACGCTGGGTTTTAATCACAGACGATTTAGAGAACGTGTCTTGAAGGTGTTTCAGCTCCATTTTTACCAACATGTTCTTCAAACAACGATAAAACTTCCCCTACTGTCAAAAAATATAATGGTATTATAATCTCACTAAATAACTAAGTAATGTACTGTTACTCTAAGGTTAATGTAGTATTTCCCTTTGGAATATATTCAAGTATTAAGACTTGTACTTCTAATATTATGACTTTTTTTATTAAATTATTATTTTATTCCTGTAATATTACAACTTCTTTCTTGCATCAAATGACAACTTTATTCTTGAAATCACCAATACTCTGAATACTCCGTCATGAGTATTAAAGTATAAAGATGTAAAAAAATAAAGTTTGGTACTTGAGTACATTAAGAAGCCGTACCAGGATTGCAGTGGAGCACAGGAGAAATGTAGCTGTGACACTGACGAGCTTCCTGTGTGGACACTATGGGGCCGTTTCAGGCTCGTCTAAAGTTCAGTAAAAACAATATGAACAAAGTTGTACTGACGTCTCGGGGATGCACACTAAAACATGCTGCTCCACCTTAAACATGAGCTGGCATCTGCACTCTGCTTCTTCTCTGCAGCATTTCTCTGCAACTTTATCTCCCTCTCTCCAGCTTTGACCCCCACATCTATGGCTCCAAGGAAACTATCATTTGTAACCGCGAGCCGTTTTCAACCCAATCTATTTCACCTGGCTCCCTCTGGGATTTCTATACCTCCACGAGTTTGAATCACTCACACACACTCTCCATCACCGAGCTCGATGCAATTCAGATCACAGTACAGTGCCGACAATCTGATGCATATACAAGGCAACTATACTATAATTCACCCCTATTGCAATTCATTCCACACTATGTAATTCAACGTGGAACTGATTGTTTCATATTATTTCTCTGGTTCCTCTCGCGCAGACAGAAAATCATAAACAAATTAAAAATGTTCACTTCGTATCATTTGTTTCCGCAGCTCAGTGTGCATATCATTTATTCTGCTTCTAAAGAACATTTGATCTCACAAACAGGCTTTGTAGTGCAAACAAGTCTAAAGATAACAAAACCAGGCGTGGATCTCTTTTCTCCTTGAATCAGCTTTTCTTTCCTGTTCTCCGTCTGCAGTTACACTTTGATAACCTCACACTTTTAGCCGTTGAACAATTCAAGGCTACTGTAACTACCGTGCTGCTGGCTCTGCACAACATGGAGGCACAGAATCTGTCTCATATTCCGTGTGTGTTGTCAAACTGTCCCAACGTTTGATATTGGTGGAACGTGACGCTCTTCCTCCTTCATCATTTTCCGTGACTCACCTCCAACTCACACGAGACTTGGCGGAGAGATGAGAATTGAGATGGATGAAAGAAGGAATCCATCCAAAGGTGCATAGCCTCTACTAATAATTATAGGCTTCAAAATAAAACTGATTTTAATGAAGCAAAGATGATGTGTTCATCCCAAACTGTATCTGTGTTCACATCACGATTATAATGACCAAATCATCCCAGTTATTAGTCCTGAAAATGTTCTAATCCGCAAACTGGAGTAATTTCACTAACTAATATATTTAAATATGTATATTTCCTATAAATCATAAAATAGACAACAACATCTCAAATGTGCAACATTAACATTAAGGAAAGAATGTTTCGCTCGCTGTGCAAAATTATCCAAGTCATTTTCAGAAAGCTGAATGCTGCAGAATGTCTCAACTACATTTGTCCTCATATACAGTCGAGTAGACAAAAGTAGTAAATGCTTCATAATTATCACACACCACTAAGCACATGTGTGTGGTTATAAAACGATTAATCCTTCTATCTGCCATTATAAATGCCTTAAACATTATGCAAGGAGGATTAATGGTCTGAATACATATGCCTTTGTCAGAGGTCACAACACGAACTCTGCCTCAACCTGCACAGCTGATGTGACTGATTTAAACTTTCACTCTGCAGCTCTGCTTGTAACTCATCGAATAATCCTCTGCATGCAGTATGCATGAACAGCATGTGCACGGCAGGAGATGATCCAACAATGGAGGAACGATAAAAGTACGGTTACAGAAACATGCCAGGATTGTTATATTCTAATGCTTCTAACTGGAGATCATGAGAACGGTCTTAACATTATTCTTTAGGGAAGTGAGCTACATCCTATCCAGCGCAGGCTAATCTTCCTCAGCCGTGCAGCACCTGCATCACTTCAAAACTGGACTTCGCTGCTGAGGAAACCATCCCAGCTGCTCCTCCACGCCCCCGGGGTTCCAAATGGATGCACTCAGTGATTTGCTGCTGCAAAATGTTCCAGATAGAGCCGAGTAAAAATTGCCTCCTGTGTACCCAGAGTGTTAAGACATAACGTTAAAGTCACTTATGTAGATGGGTCTGCAGGATTCACACAGTGTGTCACAAGGCAAAAGGTGGAAGACAGACCAAAACAGAATGATTACTTTTTAAAGAGGGGGTGAAAGAGCGGCCGTAGTTCAGCCGGCGAGACCACGGCATCCGCCTTAATGTCATGTGCTGGTTCCTGCCACCTGAGCCCCTCAGACACACACACACACACACACACACACACACACACACACACACACACACACACACACAGAGCCACTCACCATCCTTTCGGTGGTAGGTGATCTCCACCTTGCGCTCCTCTGAGCCCAGTAGCGCCTGGGCCACCTGGGCTACGGAGTGCCGACTGGTGAACTGGCCGTGAAGGAAGTCACATGTGCACGGCTTCTGCATGACGTCCGGCCGGGAGAAGCCCGTCATCTCACAGAAGCCGTCATTACAGTAGATGATAGCGCAGTTCTGCACCCGGGCATTGGCTATGATGAATTTCTTATCTGTGGAGGAGAGGGCAGAATGGAAGCAGAAGATCACATAAACATGACTCAGTTACTGTCGAGAATCACACATTCAATCCAACACATTAAGAGGAAATTTTAAAAGATCACAAAATATAATAAGTGCAGTGGGTGGGTGTAATGGGTTTAAATAGGATTATCCTCGATTAGATGCCTTAATATTGATTCTAAATTCCTCTAGCAAATTAAAAATGAAACTTTTTAGGTTGTACTGTTCAAAACCCCTTTTTATGAGGGGGGTGAACTTAATATAACAAACATAATAACATGAAGAAAGATGTAAAACTGATTTTATGGCACAACTGATGATTTTGCATTCACCAGGTCTCCATAGTGCAAATTATCTCTGAAACATTAACATAACTGGTGCATTGAAAGGTATAAAGTTATAAAATCCAGCAAATAAGCATTGAAATTGTGTAGGTTGCACAGCAACAAATTACATAACTGGAGCTTTTACTTACATTTACTAACGATGAAAGATTAACATAACTACAATAAGGATTTGATAATTTAATAGGACGTGATGTATTTTAATCCAGCAAATAAAAAAGCTAATTGAATAGTTTGCATGGTTCAAAAACACTTCCTGTGAGTGAGCCTTAACATAACAAACATGGTAACATAATAAAACGTAAGTAAAGCTGTAAAACACAGATTTTATAGCACAACTGATGATTTTGCATCCACCAGATTTATGAGAGATTCACATAACTTTTATTAAGGGGGATTTAAGGTACATTGTGGGATGTGATTTAAAAATATTAACCCTTTATTATTTCTTAGAAGCAGCTATGAGATGAAGCAGGTGTTAGATACGGAGAAGGTTAATTATACTTATAATAACTTCCATGCACCTCTGACATGCAGTTTCTAATAAGAAATGTGAGCATTGTGAGCCTGGTTGAGAGGGAGTGAGCGGGAGGTGGTTTCCTGGTGGATAAGTGATGTGAGGATGCAGCAGAAGAGACACAAAGGAGAAGAGCGCAAGAGAGGTACTCACTTTGTCCCTCGAATTTGCGAATAATTACTCCCAGGAAGGTGTTTTGAGGCGCAACATGACCCCTCCGGACAGGCATTGTGCTGCTCCAGAAGAAAAACGCAGGGATGGATGAAAATATTTGGCTGAGCACGGGAAAATGAGCCTCTCCAAAAAAAAACACCAAGTTCTAGCGGGTGCCAGGCGCAGCCACGAAGAGGGGGGCTCCCCGGTTCCTTTGTCACCAGTCAGTCATGTTTGTCAGCGGGGAAAACCTCCCTCTCTTTCCCGTCTGACCGGAGCCGTTTCTCCCCCTTTATTCCAACTTGACCCCGCCGGAGCGCATCGCAGCAGCTTCCCCCTGCAGACGTGGAGCTACAGCCGTGCGCACAGACAAGTCGATGCGCCGCCGCTTCACCATCGCTCCTCGAAAGCGTTGTGCACGTGGACGTAGGGGCGTGCGTGTGCATGTGCGTGGGTGGGTGGTGTCTGAGGAGGAGGAGACAGGGCATGCCGTCTAATGGATTACTGTAGCGCGTTACATTACTACGCCCTGTTTTGTGCCATACGCAGGCACATTTACGCGTGGGTTTGTTACTGTGGTCTATTCCCCACTTTATTTACCTCCAATGCACACAGCTGGAAACATTAGATCAACAAGTACAAGATGGTTTATGTTAAAAACACAAAACTGATAAGTTACAAAAGTAAGGATCAAAAAATACGACAACAAATAAGAAAACACAATGACAAGAAAGCACATTGGCAAAAAAGTACACAACAAATCATTAGACAGTGCCTTCATCCAATCGGCAGCGAGCTTTGTTGACACCTTTTCTGTTAATGTTGTTGTGTTATGTGATTTCCAACTAACTTAACTGTCGTGTGCTCTTGTTTGCGAGCGTGCTATGTTATTTGGGATTGTATTTTCTCACTTGTCCCTGGGTTTTCTTATTTACCGTTGTTTTTTCCTATTTGCTTTTTGTGATCTGCACTTAAAAACTATAAAAACACAGGCATTGATCCTCATATTAGAATTTGCATTTTAAAGAAGTTAAGGGGGCAGAACAGTTGTGGGTGACAAATGTCGACTTGGGATGATAAACGTTAACGTGACACACTGATGACTGATAACTTCACACCTGTGACTCACACACCCTGTGGTGCTGCAGAGAGACGTCAGAGCAGCTCAGGTGTATCATGTGTCTCATTACCAGAGAGGCCCCCCCCCGGCCACGGTCCTGTTGGACGGACATGTTTTAAATGTCTTCCGTAGCCTCAGGCCTCAGCTTTTTAAAGGTGACTCTTCATCACAGAGCAGGGAGTGAGATGGCAGCAGGAGGAGGAGCTGACCATGGTGCTGAGGAGCTGCTGCTGAGATCAGATCAACACACTCACATATACAGGGTGGAAGGTCAGGATTAGTTCTATCTATCTATCTATCTATCTATCTATCTATCTATCTATCCATCCATCCATCCACTGGATAACATATAGATTCCTGCAGGAAAATTGTTCGTCCAGTTGCTTTAGATCATCTAATAAATGGATTATATAGGGACATGTTGTTCATGGACAAATTTGAGTCTTGGTGTAATGGCAGCCCCATTACTGTGTTCAAGCAGTTATCTGGAGTTTGAACATCTCTATTATCCCTCTCTTCTTGTTCCCCCTCCCTGTGTCTCTTTCACTGTCTCACTCACTCTCAGATGTCTTGATTCACATGGGGGAGGCGTCACATGCTGCTTTTTTTGTCGGACACTTTTTTCCTTGTCAGCTGTTTTTGGAAACGGCACAAATTCATTTTTCCTTACATCTTCAAACCTTCCCTCAAATCATTTCGAAAGCCACAGAGAAGATCTATGTTTGCATTAAAAGCTCTCCGCATACCCAGACCTCAATTATAGACTTTATTATTTCATTACTTACAAGAGAAAGGCTCTGGAGGACTGTGGGGAAACAGACGCCTAATGCCTTGGGACCAGGACAGAAGCCACGATGAAGATATAGATCTTAGACTGTTTATAAAGACGGCCAACAACGTCTCCATTTCTTCCCACTATCCAAAAATGAAGCCAAAAACTAAAAACTTAAAACACGTCATAAAATAATTGTGTAAAAATTATGCTTTCGCATGAGCTGCTGGAGAAAAAATAACTGGATCCAATAACTTGAGAAGAATGTCACTCTCCTGACACTCAGTATTTCCCAAGAGACGATGACTGGTGTGATAGAATTGATGACTTGCAGCTAATGAAAAACAGCTAAACTCATAACACAGCAAATATCTCCTCTGAAATGTTCCCAAATCAACCGGCTTTACACTGGAATCCCCCCGTGAATGGCCACTGAGCCCATTTACATTGCTTAATTTTCACTTAATAATTCATTACACCTTTAACAGCATCTTAGGGATAAAACCTAATTTCCTTCTCTTACCGTGACTCATAAGCCTGGCTGGTTTCATAAGGGGCATTAAACAGATTAGCGATGTTCCAGATAAATGGAAAGTAAATACAGTTTTATCTGTTTATAGGCATCAGTTCCCATAAACCACTGAGCTTCATTGCCAGTAGCATCTGGCAACAGATATTCAAGTAGCGTATGGAAACAGGAAGATACAAGGTTTTTGTCACGCCTCAGAAAATTCTGATCATCTGCAAGTGACTTTTAAGTATTTCTGTAGTGTTTGATCAAGCACATTTCGAGTGTTGATGCCTGTGATTTCATTTTGGTTTGTTTCCAGTGATTTAAAATTTAATAAAATAATTGAATACAAGTTTTCTGAGCCTCAACCATTATATAAAAATTTTTATTTATTAGGTTTTAGAAAACACTCTAATGCAGAAGAAAGTGTGATTTAAAAAAACAACAACAATGTCTTTATCATTATTTACAATATCGTATCTGGAATATTTAGGTTTCATTTCTCGATTGTGGGAGGAAGAGGGTGTGATAGCTATCTTTATTTACAGTCTAATGGTACCATGCTGTTTACTTCCCCATGAGACAAAAATATTTCCATGCATACAATCATTTAAAAGTCTGCAAACCAGTTAGAAGGTTGAATATGGTTCGACATAGAATGGCTTCACTCACAAGTCAACACTGGTAAGTCAATTTGCTATTGGTCAGCGGTGTTCTGTGTCAAAGGTCACCAATTTGAACCCATCATAAGCCCCTGCAGGGGAATTAATTAGGCTTATTTAGGCAAGTTTTTGTTGAATTTATAGATTTTACTTTAAGATTTTGCCCTTTTTTGGTAAGAGAGGCTCGAGAGGCAAAAACAATTAAGTTTGTCTGAAGCAACTTCTCGGTTTTAGGCAGGATGGGGTTGTTGTAGGAAGTGGCCAAGTTGAAAAAGGGATAGAGCTGAAGCAGCCTCTTTATAATTGGAGCCGAGTCAGTAGGTGAGTGATTACAGCGTTGCCCTATGGGATCATCAGCATCATTATGATGTATTGAAGGAGGAAAAATGGTTATTAGTGCGAAATCTAACCTTGCCTTGGGCCCTGCTAATTAGGTAGATGAACACTGTCAGCCGGTGACAAACTGTCACTCTTGTAGCGAGGAGGTCCAGATTCAGCACTGCACGTTGGAGATTAACGCAGCATCACGGATATTGTGACTCGGGAGATTGTGCTTCAACCTGGGTTCAAGCCCTGTTCACAACAAACATCTGTCCTGCTGAACCATCCTGAATTCCCACCAGCTCCCGAGATGTTTAATCCAATGAGAACTTCTCTCTGAGATCAATACATCAACGCATAATTCGGCCCCTGCCATCCACTGAAAAATCGCAATGCAGAATTCACCATCCACTTTCACGTCACACAGGATTTACAGGTCAGGTCCTACAAGAGGTTAATTCTCCTGCTTTTGTGATTGTAAGAAAGCCAACATGGCCACCAACAAATCAGTAGTGATTTCCCCTGGTAGTTGTAAAGGACCTCTATTACTACCAGGCATTTTCTCTGACCTTAGCCCAGGATAGAGGCTCAGTGCACTATTGCCTCTGCAGCAATCATTAAATAAACCCTGAGCAGCCTATTCCACTCAATATCAGCTCATTCATGGCTTAAGAGAGTGACAAGCAGCATGTGTGTTTGAGGGTTTGAATATTTATGTATCTGTATCTGTATGAGACTGTATCTGGAGCATCTGGACATCCCTCTGCTGCAAGCTTCTTAAGAGCCGCTCTGCAGGTTTACACACCTCTAGAACATGTGTGCTGCACGAATGGCATTTTGTAAGTGTAGGGGAGACACCACCTGCTCATATTACTTTGTGCATTAATAATAATGTGAGCAAATAATACGAAAATCGAAACGAAAATCCTCTGTTCCCCGAGGTTTCCAAACACAATATAAGACTGTGAGTATATATTAGAAAAACTCTGATGTATTAGTTTATTTTCACACAATTACTCGACATTTGTCTTGTGGTCTTTACACCTACTGGTCATGGCACACTCTTGCCGGAGGCAATAAAAAATACCCATGTATTGTCTACATGATATTTATTTGTGTAATAATTCATATAGCAGAGGGATCTGATGATTGTGACACCAATTAAACTCTGTAGAGACTAATCTGGTTTAGGTACAGTGATAATTTTACTCCTGAAAGTCTGGACCAAGGTCTGAACCAGCATGTCTTTGTCGTCTTTCGTTTTCACACTGTAAAACAAACCAAACCAGGCTTCGGTTTGATCCACACCGAGACCCTCTCCTTGATATAGTGATAATGATGATGCTATGACAGTATTGCACACACATACTAGCCCTATTAGTGTGTTCCTTTGTGAGAAACTAATTCCCTTCCTTGCATTAGCCTTTAGCCTCCTCACTGTTTCTACTCATGCTGCTGGGAGTGTTTTTGAAAGGAGAATATCCTCCCATAAGCCTGACTATCAGCTCTGTTGGTCCATTCATTTTTAGCTTAATCTGTTCAGTATGTGGAGCAATTTAGATCGAGCGGCCGGGCCTTGGCCCCTAATCCACAAATCACTCTGGGGCGAATGGCTGTGTACACCCAGGAATGACCCTCTCTTTTCTCCCTACATCTATTTGTGTCTGGTTTTGTTTTTCTGCCCCCTGAACTCCCGCTCTGACTTAAAGCCAGTTCAAGTAAAAAACAGATGAAGAATAACAAGAAAGTCATAGTGTGTCTTATTGTTGTCGGTGCAGTAACTCCTCCATGTTTTGTCCCAGACTTTTTCCACAGCTGGCCCCTTCCACAGATAAATGTCTCACCTTTCCTCATCTGCCTGTCTTGCTATCTTTTGGGAGCTCTGCGGTTCATGGGAACTACGCGCTGGGGACGCAGTGTTGGCGTGTCAGCGATAACCCACGTGTCAC